TTTTTTTTGTCGTTTTAATTTTTCATATTCATTTGTTAGATCATCTAGACAACGTAAATATTCAAGTTCAACTTCAAAATCATGTTGAGGTCGTTGTTGACGAAGATTTTCCGAAGATGAACGTTTTTTTTTCTCAACTTCATATTCAAAACTTCGTTTTATTGTACTTTGTTTTTCAGTATTATTGTCATTTGTATCCATTGGTATAAAAATTTCTAAAGTTTTTGGATATTGTCGTAAACGACGATAATCATCATAACGTGTTAATGATTGACTTTGTAATGGACGATGACGTTTATTAGTAATATTTGAAGACATAAATGATGATTCTTGATCAACTGAACTTGTAATCAAAGATGATAATTTTTGTTGATTTGTTTCAATTTGTCTTTTACGTGGTACCGGTGGTGATGGTGACATTTCAACAAGCAAATTAGACAACATATTCTTGTTTTTGTCGATGCCTTTTTGATGAAGAGATATACGCAAATAAATTATTTATCGTTATTTACTTTTTCAGAAGCAAAATATATATATATGCATAGCGTTACGATACGACAGTATTCATTGATGTTTAATAAATGCAACTGATTTTCATAAATAAGTTTTTTGTTTGTTGTTAGACCATTTATACAAGAGAGTACATCGTCGTTAGAGCTGAAAACGAGCAACAGGCAACAAACTAGACGAATGCATATGTATATACATATATGCAGCAGCAAAACACATTTAGTCTTATTTGAGTAGCCTTCATTACAAAGAAACAAAAAAAAAAGAAGAAAAGCGCGACATCAAGAGACAATAGATTATAAATGACAGTCTATGATGATATATGTACTACAATTATGATACTGCCTACCTCTTATATTTCCATCATTGCCACTACTTGCTGATCGATGTTTAATTGTTCGTACTTGAACAAGTGGCGAAGATCCTGAATGCATAATTTGTTTGATAACTACACAAGAAGGTGATCACTACTTCTCATGAAAAGCAAAGAACTACAAACGACTAATATGATATTTTATAACTCGTATATTTTCTTTCTCGTCGTTTTTTTTCTTCTTCTTCTTTCCAACAAAAGTATATTCCTTTTTCTGCCGTTTTCTTCCTCGTTTCCTTATATATGTTATGTTATTTTCCAGAATCAATCATTCTCCGCTAGACGCCGTACGGCAATATACATGTTCGCGAACGTTTCCTTTTTTCATGCATATGTACAGAAAATAGATGGGTTGGAGATGGATGAATAGATATCAAGCAACTTCTCTTTCTCCTCTATCTCTTCTTATTTTCTTCCATCCGTCGTTCGTCTTCTTTTTGCGAGGTCGTTTATACAAACAAGTATATATCTTAGCACATATGACGAATACGACAACATAAGTAAGATAGATATAGAGAAAAATGGGTTGTTATCATCTTTTCTTTTCTTTCTCGAGTAGCCCAGTATACACAAGAAGAAGAAGAGAAAGAAAGATCGTGGCCAAGAATTGTAGAAATATGAGTCTGTAGGCGGACAGACAACATTTGTTTGTGGTATTAAGACATAAAGAAGAAAAAAAAAAGAAACGATGTGTAGCTTTTTATTTTTCTCAAGGGTTCTCTATTAGAAATCCAGCGTATTGTTAATCAACTAACGAAAGACAATTCTAACTATAAAGACATACTTATCTTTCTTGTATTCTTTTTTTATTCATGGTAAAAGGGCATTCACAAAGCAAATGCATAAGAAAATAGACATGCAAACCATTCAAAATTATATGTGTATATAAATAAATATAGATATATACAAAAAATATTAAAATGAAAAAAAAACGACGATGTACTCTAAATAAAAATAAATGAATACTGTCTAGATAATTAAGCATAGGCGTGCATTAGGTAGAATAAAAGGTGTATTGGTTCCAATAAAGGTAATATTTGATATTATCTTACCAAATCTTACAGTAGTAGGAACAACAAAAAGTTCAGCAGTACAAGTTGTTTTTCCCCAAGAATTTTCAGCATTTAATGTATATTTTCCAACATCATCATAACGGATATTATTTATGGTTAATATATAAGTATCATTATCGTTATTTTGTTGATAATGTTTATTAGTACCTAGATTTGATATTGGTTTGCCTTGAAATAACCAGTAAACCTTAGATATAATTAGTATAGATATTGAATATTTTTACAAAAAAAAAAAGAAGATAAATTTACATTTAAAGGTGGTGTACCAGTAAGTCGAGCTTCGAATCTTATTGTTGAACCTAATGAAGTTTTTTTATCATGAAATACTTGAAGAAATTCTGGTGGAAAACCAGTTGGTGTAACAATCATTGGTTCATGAGTAGTAGTTGAAGGTAAAACATGTGGTATCGCTGCATGTTTTCTTTCACCACTTCTACTACTTGCTTTTCTTTGATAAAAGTTAGCATTGTTTCTTGATATTTTTGGTATTTCAAGTGTATGGTTCATTCTTTCAGTTCGAATCTATACAAAACAAAAAATAAAGTATTTCGTAATATATTCTCTATGAAAAATATACTTGATGTTCATATGCATTATTTAATGATTGATTATCTTTATAATATATAACTTGTGATTTTGATTGTTCATTACTATTTGATTGTAAATGACGATTGTTGTCTTCTTGTATTATTCTGTTGAGTAATGATTGATTTACATTTGGTAACGAACGATTTGCTTGAAGGTGTTCACGAAATCCTTGTATATCACTTGATTGTAAATGATAATTGTTTTCTTCATGTGGTATTCTAGTTTGTGGTGGTTGAATCACAATCGGCAATGAACGATTTGCTTGAAGATGTTCGTGAAATCCTTGTGTTGCGTTTGATTGTTCTATAAAATTTGATTGTAAATGACGATTGTTTTCTTCTTGTAAAGATTGATTTACATTTGTTAATGAACGATTTGACTGAAGTTGTCCACGAAATCCTGGTGTTTCATTTGATTGTTCTATGAAATTTGATTGTAAATGACGATTGTTATCCTCATATGTTATTTTATTTTGTGATGATTGATTTGGTTGACGTTGTTCATGAAATCCTTGTGTTTCATTTGATTGTTCCATAAAATTTGATTGTAAATGGCGATTGTTTTCTTCTTGTAATGATTGATTTATATTAGGTAATGGGCGATTTGATTGAAGTTGTTCATGAAATCCTTGTGTTTCATTTGTTTGTTCCATAATATTTGATTGTAAATGACGATTGTTTTCTTCATATGTTGTTTTAGTTTGTAATGATTGATTTGCAATCGGCAACGAACGATTTGCTTGAAGATGTTCTCTAAAACCTTGTGTGTCCTTTGATTGTACAATAACTTGACAAATACATTCAGCTTGTCCCATTGAGTTAACAGCTGTTATTCGATATATTCCTGTATCATTCTCCTTCTCACATCGATCTTTTATTAATGTACATAATTGTCCATCATATGTTACTGTAAGATCACGTGAATTCTTTAATGGAATATTATTACGATACCAAATAATCTACAAATAAAAAATTAGTATGTGTTTATAAGAAAAATATATTTATTTTTTATACTTCGGGTTCGGGATGAGCATTGATTGCAGCATGTAATTTTAATTGTTGCCCTTCGTTTATTGATGTATCACGAAGTGGTTGAACAAATATTGGCTTCATTGGTGTATCAGACAATTCTGATTCCCTTTTTTTTTGAAATAAAAGTATAAAACAAATAAGTTTTTTATATAAAATTTTGATTTATAAACTAACGGTGTTCGACAAAAAAATTCTTCTACTGTTAATTGTGTAAATGAATGTGCTTCTCCTAATGTATTACGTATTACAACTATATAAGAACCTGTATCTTCTGGAAATGCTTCTTTAATTAATAAAGCTGTGTAATCAACTTCTTTGATAACCTATTTTGAAAGGAAATAGAACATTATTAGTATTAATATTTGACAAAAAAATGTACTTACCTTAAAATCTCGAGAAATACCAAGTGATTCGAATTCAATTTCGACTCCATCTTTAAGCCATTGAATACTACTGTTAGGAGATGCGTCAAAACGACATGAAAGTTTTACTGGCTGTCCTTCACGTATTACGTAAGAAGCTTTTAACGGTTCAGTAAAACGTGGCTCGTATTCAGATGACATTATTATAATATCTTAAAAAAGCAAAAAAAAAACTTAAAATAATTATCATCAATCTTGTCTATCACTAGTTAAGCTTCTAGTTTTTTTTTTGTGTGTCTAGTTAGAAAGCGAGACTGATACAAATACGTAAACTATTTGTCTTATAAACTAACAAGTCGCCTATCCATCACCATGTCTCAAGGAGATCTTCGAAGACAAGAAAAGAGAATGACGAAGACAATACTATACACTACTCGTCCTTCCTTGTACAAAAAAAAGACATTATCGGATGTAGACAACTATTGGGTGTTTCCTATTCCTATACTTTTTTTTTCTTCTTTTCATGCTTCCTCATATGTATATATATATATACATATACATATATATATATATATGCGATATCGAGGAAAAAATCCGGATAATACATGTTTCTCTCTTTTCTCATCCTTATTTATCACATTGTTGATGATTAAATTTGACATTGATATCGGTTATTCATATAACTTTATTGCAAAAAAAACATTACTTATTTCCTTTTTTTTGTTGTACATCTCCGAGTATCAAATTTCAATATTATTACAAATCAAAAATACTGTACAGAAATAGACCTTTTAAACTGTACTTTTAGAGTACGTATAATGGTTTGATAAATGTTTAAAATACAATCATATTGATTTATAATTTGTCAACACCTTGTCAAGAATACTGATATGAGAACTAAATAAGTGGGTGGATATGAATATTTTTCTTTACACTTGTATGTATTAATTCAAGTGCAATACGAATTAAATTTTATTGTTAATATTAATGAAACAAAAATCTTGTTAGATTATATTTAAAATTATATATATGAAAAAAAATTATTGTTATTAATTCTGGAGATAATCTTATATAATAATCATTTGTTGAAACGAGTGCTGAAAGACAATCCAAGAAGGAATAATAATAACAGTCAACCAGTTGATACTAATATCTGTCTTATTCCAATGTCTAACTGCCATTTAACATTAGACGACAAGTGACAAGTTCTTTTTTTTGTCTTCTCTTGTGTATATTATTTATTTGTCTCTTGTCAAACTTTTAATCGAATGTGCCTACACAAAAGACGTAAGCATAATCCAATGTCGACATGCAATAGAACATTCTTATTATACTTCAAAAGAAAAAGAGGTATATCGTGATAAATAAAACTCTTCATTTTGAAGTACATCAAAAAAAGAAATCTTAGCAATGTAATTAGATAATTGCTTGTTTTCATTAATTGATACATAGAACTTGCATAATATATTAATCTAATCAAGTCAAAAAATAATATTTTTGCCAAGATATACAATGTATATCGATAGATTAACAAAACATCAAGACTGTTCACGTAATCAATATTTGTTAGATCATCGAATGAAGGATAATTTTATTGTATATAAAAAAAATATACATACTCGATATAGGCATAGATAAAAAAA